TTTAACTAGGGCGAAGACGTCAACATCGTCTGCGATTTCTTCTGCAGTTAAAAATCAGCATCAGTACAGTGTATATGAAACACAAAAACATTCAGAGAAAGTTAAATATTTTGTCAATTATTTAAGACAGTTTGACACAGAGGTCCTCCCTCGTCACTGAGGAGATCCTGCCTTTAGTGGACGTCAAAACATCAACAAATGCCGTTCTTGATTAAGGCAGTTTTGTTTCTGTGTATCAGGTGTGAGGAGTGAAGAGAGTCACAATATATATGGAATTCGTAGGAGCCAGTCAATAACACTAAAACCTCCCTCCAATTGTCAGTCATTTGTGTAAATTGAACCTTAATTATGTTGATAAAGAAGACTTAAGATAAGTAGGGGACGCATAGTGGTGTTGGGCTCGACCAACCCAGAGTTATAATTTTTACAGAAGTAAACTTGATATTAATCTTATTCAAATGAACGACCGGTTTATGTATTTATAAAACAAGAAAATGTGTGAAGTTTGTGGTGACAAGTTAGGTGGCGGCGTGACACACCAGAATATTTTAGGCATAGCTCGACACCACACGTTCCCCTTCAAGATGGTTTACACCACTCCCATCCTCCTGTATATGAGAGAAATTATAATTTCATACACCAAAATAATAATCAGAACAGGACTTCATCTCTTATCAAGATAGGATAAGCTGCCTTCCTTCATATGGTGTCCACAAAGTATCTAAACTACCATCCGGTATCTATATAAAAATAATTATAGCGTGACTTATATCAAAATGTACTAAGTGTTTACATCATCCTGTCTTGATCAAAGACTCCAGTATATATATTAAGTACAAGCCAAGGTTACAAAAATAATACATAATAAGGCACATCGCGTGAACACCAATACAAACTGGTACTCAGTTCATCCTGTAACTCAGTGGACACATCAAAACCCTATGCGGTGTTAATACAACAAAAAGCTACAACATGAAATAATTAAGTATTACCAGTAGAGTATATCATTAATTAAGACATCATCATCTGGAGGTTGTGTGCTCGTCCAGCAACACAACAAGTGGAAGACATGGAGAGCTCAGCCATGTGAGCGGTCACTATCCTAAGTACGGAGGATTGTACACTCTTTATCAAGATTACATAACTCATGTTTATTTTACATATAAAATGCGATCGTCCGAGAGATACATTCCGGACTCGAAATATTTGATACGACATTGCACCGCAACATCATTAGTTTATCAAAACATGGCAACTGTAAGTTACAATGCAGTCTTAATACGAATAAGGAAAAGAAGGTCATTTCCCCAGCCTGCTGTTGTGTCATCCAGGCGGACACTCCCACAATAATACATCACCTCACCTTAAACTAAATACTGTAAACAACAACAACACACAACTACGATTAATGGTGGGAGTTAGGGGAGGTTAGGGGCCGAGTGGTGGGTAATGGGGTGGGGGAGGGGCGTCAATGCCTACCAGCACCGCCCACCCTGGCACGCGCCCACCAACCACGGGTTTTTTAGTGCCTTATTTGGCAACACTTCGAGGGAGACACAGTTACGTATATACTGTAATAAAAATATGTTCCTCGCCGGGAAACTTTAACTGTGTTAAATCTCGCAAAAATGTTAAGTAAAAATAGTGTCTTTGATAAATTCAAGTATTTTTGCTAGTGGCATGAAGCGTTACTAGTGTGTTGTGTACATGGGAAAGTGAGACTGAGTTTCTCCCCCGTGGTGTGCAGCAGCTGGTACCGTGAGTACCTCCACCGTGGCCCCGCAACCCGTTCCCCCTGCCCACCAGTGGAATTGTTGTCGCCCTGGCGGGGAGCCCCGCACCCTGGCCGTCACGTGACCCGCGACCACCGCCACTGTCTCGTACTACCCTCACGTCTCCTCCTGTCTCTCTGCTCCATTTACATTGCAACAATTAATGTTGGACTGTCAAGTCTTATAGCTGTAATTTGTTATGCCGAAATATATATTTCGGTTGATTTATTGAACTAAAGATGTTAGCAATTAAAAGTACCTTAATTAACACTCATAATAATATCCCATTATGGCCTAAACGTCACAAATAAAGTTGAACATTGTGTCGACGCCACAGTTCAGTGACCTCGTTAAGGATGAGGGTGGTGGCAATGTCTCGACCCACGCAGCCCGCCACCGCGTCCTCACCTCACCCATCAACACTGCCAATAGTGTAAAACCTTCGGCAGAATAGCTCATTTTAAGTTGCCTCTGTTTACGTTGAGTGAATCACCGAAGGCGTCAAATAGTATGGGCACTAAAACTGCAATTTACTTAGAGAAGTCTCTTGGTACGACACAAAACTCGGATGCACGTTAGTTGGTGGCGACAGTACCTTGTCTACATTACCGGTGTTTATTGTAAGCATAACTCTGGTTGGGAAGGCAACATGTATGGATCTTTTGTCAACTACGTTAAGGTGTGGCTGCCAGGAAGCAGGCGGGGGGAATTCGGCCAGGGAGAGAGGCTGATGGAGTTAATTTTAGCCCGTACTCCTGGCAGCCGCAGAACACTCTCTGCTCAGTCACCTCCGCCGCTCCCCTCGACAATCCGAGAGAACCAAAAACTAGTTTCGCTTAAGTGTTGCACAAATATGTGAATGACACCTGACTGATATGTCCTGATGTAAAGACTGCCATGATACATTACGTAATGACTAAGCTCATAATAAGCCTAACGACACTTGAGTCTGAACGCAGTCACAACTCCTGATATGCGAGGTATTCCATGACCCAACCTTGTTGTTTTTCACTATGAATTTATTGTAATTACAGTAATTCACGAAGCACAAGAGATGAAAATAATGAGATGGATAATAATTACTGACTTATAGAAATAACCGAATTACATTGTTTTTAGAATTCTCGGGAGGTCAGTAGTAAAGTACTGGTTGTTTATACTAAAAATGGGTAGAATATTGATAAAAAAGACCGAGTGAGTTTTAGGTTCAATCTACGTACATTACAAGTTACCCTTTGTATGACTTAACGATCTTGTAAATCATTGCCATATTAGTTTGTAACACTAAATGAGCAAGTGAAAAATATTTCTAATTTCTATACAATATTTAACACTATGCTTTCTGTTGTACAATGATGGAAGTTTTGAGCGGGCCATAACGGTCGATTGTACTCTTGTCCGAGTATAGTGAAACAAATATTTAAGCTCTACACCTCGGAGACAGTAGAAACAATGTAACTCAGGAGACTAAACGCTCACCGACGTCTTCTTGTTCGTATAATAATCTACTACAATTCTGCCTGAAGTAAAGCGCAGTTTGTGAATCTCAGAGACCTGCTGAATGACGTCACTCAAACATAAACACAGTTCTGAGTGCGCTAAGGACACGCCGCCTTTAACACACTCCCATTAAAAAAATCTATTACACTTGTTAAGAAGTCAAATGTCTAAATCAGATTAATTGATTGAAAAAATGGCGTAACTTAGAGAAGGGCAATTCGACGGCATGAATACATTTATAGCGTCTCGAGAGCAGTATTTAACAGACCAAGAATCTTAGGAGAGTCCTGGGATAGATTCAGGGAAAAAATGTTCCGATTGGCTAAGATGTCCAGGGTGAGGGACCGAAAATGTGTAACGAGGGGTTGGAGGAGAGACGTGTTCTGAATAGTTGACAGATCCAGCGAAGTATCCTGATTGATAGGTTGTGAAGGAAAGATTTGTTTAGAGTTTAGACAGACCATGACCATGGGATCGATTAGTTCTGACTGACTACATAGAAATTTACTTAATGGAAGACGTAGCTGGTATGTAAACACTGGCACATAAGGCAGGAGCCGACGTTTATGAATACTTATTATAGTTAGGATAATACAAGATGCCTTACGAAAATTTCAACGCCCATAATATGAATTACAAATGGTTCATATAAAGATTGAAGAGCATTTAATGAATATTCCGGCGAACTAAGAGACAGTGACGTCACAAGGGGACGGGGCTGCACGCCACAAGCGGTACACGTCACAGCCGAGGCGTGATGACGTGTCGAGGCCAGATGATGTTCCAGGCCAGCTCTACCATGAGCTTGTTGTCCCATTTGTAGATGCTTCTTCAGCTCCAGCTGAACATGATGGTGTATTGCTATTGTCCCACAGACTTTGAATACATGAATTGAAATTGTGGTACAGCGGAGCTGGCGGGCTAGTTATATATATATATATATATATATATATATATATATATATATATATATATATATATATATATATATTTATAAATCACAGAAAGAAGCAACAGGCACCTTAGCTTTCGTCTTTATTCAAGACATCTTCAGAGTTGCCTCTGAGATGTGGCAGGCGAACAGAATATATTTCCCCGTGTGTATTTATCAAATTATCTTATCCACGTTTTTCATTGTGGATCTACATGAAAAAAAAAAAAAAAAAAATATATATATATATATATATATATATATATATGTATATATATATATATATATATATATATACTATATATATATATATATATATATATATATATATATATATATATATATATATATATATATATATATATATATATATATAACCATTACTTTCAACGAATTAGATTACCTTTCGTTGGAAACTTTGAGTGCGACTAGCTAGTTTGTTCCTCCCTTGGCTCGTGGTAGTGAGGCACTGAGAGCGTCAAGCAATGAAGCTGGGGAACATACTTGAAAAGAGAGGGCAAAGTTCTTCTGAATAATAATAACATTATCGTGAGGAAGTGTACGACTCTGAAGAAGTTGAGGGAAATGCTGCTACTAGATATGTAACGAAGGGTTAAAGCCTGATTTGACTTCAAAGAAATACTGTAGTTTTGTTTGTCAAATGAAATGACAAACTTAATGTAGGATGTTGTAAAATAATACACGACAACATAGTACCGTCGTGATTCATTCGAAGAAAAAACCGAGCCATAAATAAAGATTGAATAAATGTCATTAAAATATTAAGAAAATAAGCATTGAAGCTGATAATAAGTGTATTACCTTAACCCATGACAGTCGACACTCCTCATTCGTCCTTAAGAATATTAGCACCAATCTTCAGCGTAGCCGAGACCAGTCCATCGGCAAGTCACAGTGCTCACCACAAACATATCTCATGCATATGTATAATAAACTAAAGAAAATTAACACCAAAAGACTTCACCTGGGGACATACCAGAGCGACAAAATAAGACAAAAAAAATTGACATCCATAGATTTCAGTCTACCTTCAACACTAATATATAGAAACTGGATATATATATAGAGACACAGAAAACCATTTTGTTCAATACATTAGTAGAGTAAAAAAAGTTAAGGCACGATACTCATAAAAGGAACTGATGCCTATAGGACCTTTATCATACAGTGGCAGGAATCACACCTCGCTTTCTTCAGTATACATTTGACATAAAGAATACGCATAGGGGTATTAACACATACATTCTATATAGCAGGGGTTAACAGTGGTTGTTTACTGGGATAGGCAGCTTCTACTCTAAGCCTCAAGTACACACTCATGTAAGACACTTTATTCCTGTAGTGGGTCAGTACACGACGCTCCACGTAACCACCACGCTGGGAACGAGATGAACCCTGAATGCACAACTCATTGAGCCGATAATTGTGAGAAAAAAATCCATAGAAATTAAATACTAAGGATTACAGTATATCTCAGATTCCTGTAAAGCGTCAGGTAGTGGATATCTTTTACTGAGGCACCACTACAGGGGTAGGAGGGGTGAGGGGAGGGGAAGGTGTTGTGTGTGTTGGGCGGGGATGGATGGTGGCAGCTGGTCAGGGCACCAGGGCCACCCCACCAATCCCCCTAACAACACACCACTAAAGCTACTGTTTTCTCTGCTGCAAGCTGCCTTGTCGGAGGATACATCTTCATGTCTCTCAACTTCGAACTAGTCGTTTACGTGTTACAGTTATTACGTATCGTTAACTCTCCTGAGCCGCTGACACAAGTTAGCCTTCACTGGAGAGCTGGGTCTAAGGAGGTGCCTCTTGACCAAGGGCTGTAATCCGATCCACCTTGAGTAGGGGTTGCCAAAGAGTGAGGGAGAGTGTGAGTGAGTGAGTGTAAGTAGGAGACTATCACTCCCCCTCACTCCTCATGGTGGAGGTGGGCGGGCGGGCGAGGGTGTTAGTTGACCCTCCTACAGTAGTAGCCAAGGCTCTTGCACTTCTCACAGAGGTGTTGCGGGTGAACCTTGGACTGGTCAGACACGTCCAGGCCGTCAGGCTTGTCCAGAGGTCGCTGTGGGGGGCACACACATCAGTGACAGATACATGCATCAACCGTCCTTATTGAAGAAACACTCACATTATGTAAAAAAAAAACAAAAAAACCCTAATTCATAAAGTTATGTGTATTAGTTCACCCATAACTGGAGATATGAGAACCCACGTCACTAAATTATAACACAATGTTAGCGTCCAGAATAGAGTTGTATATATACTCGTATATGTAATGAAACTAAGTAACTGCTTTATCTTATTCTCACCACGGGAGAAAAGTTCAACGTAAAAGTCTCTCAGAATCTGGTGGCATGAGACATACATTATCTACACTTCAGATATACGAGTATTATGATGCCAAATAAACCATGACCGCTTAAGAGTGAAGGCACCACTATGACAGATCAACGAGGCTTATCAGTAATGTAGAGTTATATGACACCAGATGATTTGTGTTTGTAAATAATGAAGACACAAGATGCTTAAGTAATGCGAGCTATACAGTAGATGTTAGACGTGTGAATGACGTTTGTTGATACCGAGAAGGATATGGGGAGGTAAACAAGGTGTGTCCGCCCTGATGGAAGAAGCTTGTGGAATGATGTTGGTCGATAATTGTGATATGAATGTTGACTAATGAATGATATTTTCTATAATAAAGAGATGGAGGTGACAATGTGGCTCAACTTACAATATACTGGAAATAAACCTGTAATTTACTTAACATAGCTGTAGTCTACTAATGATCAATTTGTATTACTTATGGGTCAACTTATAGTTACTTATATGGTATGTGTAGTTAATCCCAAATAAGACACCTCGACATAAACATACTTACAACAGGTACGTTGTAACTTTCTCTGTATGTTTTTTGCTGGCAACTTCCTTCTTAAGATGGCAATTTTCCGTCTACCTTTAAATGGCAACGCTCCATGCGCCATCTAATGAAACTCTACCTATTAATGGCAATTCTCCATCGACATTTTAATGGCATCTCTCCCTATACATTGACATGGCAGCTGTAACCCATGACGCCAACTCTTCATGCACCTCTTAGTGGCAATTCTCCGTTCACCCTTTAATGGCAACTTTAGAGGTATGTCCCCCATTCCCTACCACCACAACTAACCCTCCTACCAGCCCAACTAACCCTCCTACCAGCCCAACTACCCCTCCTACCACCACAACTAACCCTCCTACCAGCCCAACTAACCCTCCTAACCTCCTACCACCCTACCACAACTAACCCTACCAGCCCCTCCCCCTCCACTGGCCACAACCCCCTACCACCCAACTAACCCTCCTACCATCACAACTAACCCTCCTACCACCAAGCTAACCTCCTACCTTTCCACCACCTAACCTACCTACCACCACTAACCTAACCCTTCTACTAACCCCTCCTACCACCACAACTAGCCTTCTGCCACCACAACTAACCCCCTACCTGCCACCACCACAACTTCTCCCTCCCTCCACCACAACTACCCCTCCCACAACTACCACCACTTCCCACACTCCACCACCACAACTAACCCTCCTATCACCACAACTAACCCACTACCATCACAACTAACCTCTACCACCACAACTACCTCCTACCACCACAACTAACCCTCCTGTCACCACAACAACCTCCTGCCACCACACTAAACCCAACTACCCATCCACTATCACCACACCACCACAACTACACCCTCCTACCACCACAACTAACCCTACCACCCATCATCACCACAACACTAACCCCTTCTACCACAACTAACACACCACCAACTACCATACCATCTCCCCTACCTTCTACCACAACTACCACCACAACTAACCCTCCTATCACCACAACTAACCCTCCACACACAACTTACCACAACTGCCCATCCCCACCAACTAACCCCACAACTACCACCACAACTAACCCTCTCTATCCTACCACAACTTCCCCTCCTATCCACACTAACCCTTCTCACCACAACTACCCTCCTACCACCACAACTAACCCTACCCCCCATCACCCTCCTTCACCACCACCCACAACTACCCTCTGTCAGCCTCTACCACCACAACCCTTCCTATCACCACAACTACCCTCTCCTACACTCACCCCAACCCTCCTACCACCACACAACTAACCCTCTAATCTACCACCACAACTACCCTCCTACCACCACAACTACCCCTCCTACCACCACAACTAACCCTCTATCACCACACACCCTAACCCAACTTCACCCTCCTACCACCACCCTACCCTCCTACCACCACAAACTAACCCCTCCTACCACCACAACTAACCTCTACCATCCAACTAACTCACCCTTCTACACCACAACTACCCTCCTACCACCACAACTATCCTCCTATCACCACAACTACCCTCCTAACTTCTACCACCACCACCACAACTGCCCCCTCCTACAACCCTCCTACCACAACCACCCCTCATGCCAGCCCAACTACCCCTCCTACCACAACTAACCCTCCTACCACCACAACTAACCCTCCCTATCACCACAACTAACCTCTACCACCACAACACCCATCACCACCTACCTCCTACCTCCTACCACCACATCTACCCACACCACCCCACCACAACTCACCCACCTAACTACCCCTCCTACCACCACAACTACCCTCCTATCACCACAACTAACCCTCCTACCAGCCCAACTACCCCTCCTACCACCACAACTACCCTCCTATCACCACAACTACCCCCCCTACCACCACTGCTTTATCGTGTGTATTCACATTACAAATTGTCTTTGCTTATAAACTCCCTCCTACTGGTGACTTCCCATGAGAGCGAGTGAGGAGCAGAAGGGCATAAGACTCACGGGGGAGAGGGAGCCAGCACGGACCTGCTTGTGGGGGTAGACGTTTATGCGGCACTTGATGCACTCTTGCCCGCAGTTGGCCCACGAATTGCCGCTCATCCATTTTCTCTTACACTTGGTACAGCGGAACTCCCCGAAACACCTCTTCTTCCCTTGGTACGGCGTCAACCCCTCACCCTTGGGACGCGCCTGGTGGGAGACAATATGGCCTTAAGGTTATGTGCTGTAGTGACTTATTGGAACGGATGAGGACAAGGGCGTGATCTGGTAGCAGAGATGTGTGAGAATCTGTAAAGCAAGGTTATTGGGGAACTTCCTGAATGAGGGGGGGTGAGGATGGGGGGATGAAGTCTAGCCACAGGTGTTATACCAAAGTACATTAGCCAGAGTCATGGGCCTAACACTTGTAAATAGTCAAAACTTTTATAGAAACGAGCAGTGATATTTTTCCTCATACAACACACGGATCACCTCAAGATTAGCCTCCTCCATCCCTCCCAGTTTATTTCACCTGAAGAGTAATCAAGATAATGCTAACCCACCCAATCCTTAGGTCTCTTTTACGCGATATTATTATTTTTCTTTTGGCGACACTTAGAAATAAATGAAGTTCAATATACGTCCGTGTGAAAGGTGCCATTAAACTCCATCGATTTCTAAGTCGCGCGACGAAAACACGCTAATGTGAAAGAGGCCTTACCCCTCCCCCCAGCAGCGTTAGGGTCTAGGGGGGGCGAATCTTCAGGGGAAATAAGTTGGGGGCGAATCTTCAGGTGATCCCCAAAAAACTTATGTTAACCCTTGTGAAAATTAGTTAAAAGCTTCGTACATGTTATCTACCTGTGGCAATTAACTACCTGTACATACCTGACATACAGGGACAACAAGTCTATAGGCCTACAGTATAAACACAATATACGGTGTTGTGTTTTCCCCAGGACGACCTACAACACACAGCATGTTAGGGATAAAGGAAACAATAAAGTAGACCCAACTGGGGATGTTTTCTATCAATGACTGTGTTGTGTTGAGGTTTGGGGGCCAGGATGGTATCGGGCGGGGAGGCAAGTACTGGCTGTTATTCCCTTGAGCCACACGTCAGGCGGGTGTGAGCGTGACTGACACCGGAAATGCTATCATCTTGCTGACATGAGGGAGAAGTGCCCATATCCGGGTATCATTTACCTCCTGAGTGACGACTTCTCTGGGCACACACGGCTGGGTGCACATCTACGTATACGTGGCTGACGCCCGGAGTATTAAACACCCTCTTCCGTTGAAGAGGGTGTTTAAAACTCCGGGTGTCATTGCACATATGTACACTTTTGAATGTAAGGTTACGCTGTTGAAGGGTGTGGCGTTCAGGATGTGGGGTTCAAGGTGTGGGGTTCAGGGTGTGGGGTTCAGGGTGTGGGGTTCGGCGTGGGGGGTTCAGGGTGTTGGTTATAAACGTCAACCCTCAGTTTACTGGGAGTCATCAGAATAAATAATGAATCCAGCGTGAACATTCCAAAGCTGCCTTCACACACACACACACACACACACATACACACACACACGAAAGAAAGCCAGTACTTATCACCGATTTCTTCTGTATTTCATGATAGCAGACTGTGGTAATATATCATGGCTGGCCTGAGTGTTTTATATGTATTGGTAATTGAGTAAAGCTCATCTTATATGAAAAGGTAATAGTAGTCTTTGAGCTTATAGTCTCCCGCCAGCAGGAAGTAAACTGAGAGTGAGTGAGTGAGAGAATTTATAAACAAAAGACTATTACAAAGTCGTTTCGGTTATACAATCTTGGAATTAACTTTTGCTCGTAAATTACTGGAAAGTAGTAAAGGTTTATAGCACATCGGTTAATACTTTATGAGTGTTTTTTCTGTTTACTCATGTACGAAATAGTGATTGTTGTGTCACTAAGAATTGTGAAGAACAGGTCCCTGGTTTTTGATATAAGTCCTCCTGCATCGTCCACTGATATGGTATACTTACACCTTGTTCAGGGATTATATTGAGGGGTTATACTGTGTCAGGAGTTGTGTGTGTGTGTGTGTGTGTGTGTGTGTGTGTGTGTGTGTGTGTGTGTGTGTGTGTTGGGAAGATCATACATTTGTTTCTCCTCAACACACGTGGATTTTTGTGCATGTTTAAGTTCAAGGTTTTCACACACACACACACACACACACACACACACACAGGCGCCAATATCACCACCGTATCCACTATGACCCTCTGATAATAATAACACATGAACTCTTTTGGAGGTTCTCGACTCTTAACTCTATTTTAGTCACACTTTACGTCTACTCGAGATAAGGATCCATTTCTTTATGGCCTCACACTCCAGGAGATGGAGTGAGAGATTAGTCTGGGTCTCTGGGATCATATTTCCATGGGACTATAATGTGAATTAGTCATATCATCTTGTATCAGTTGTCGGGTTGCCTCCACTGACATCCTCTGATTTTTCTTTCCCTCTGACGTCACCACTGACAGGACTTGACAGGTTACATATACACAACACACGTTCATGACACCTGCCCTGCTAACCAGAGTGTGTGTAGTGAGTGACGCACCTGTGGACAGTCCTTGATGTGGTGACCCTTCTTGAAACACAGGTGACACAGGTAATTGGGCGGCAGCTTCCTCCCCTTCACCTTCTTGTCCAGGCCCAGCGTCAACTCGTTTAGTTGGTCTGCCAGCTCACCTACACAACACAACAACAAAAACATTTTATTCAACATTTATATCAGTAGTAATAATAATAATAATAATAATAATAATAATAATCTAATGTTCCAGTTTTGTTTGCGTCTGTATTTCTATTCAGTAAATGACTAGTCTACAACAAAGATATTATCATAAAAAAGAACGACCTTCCAGACATGAGGTATTAATATATTTGGCGTAAGTAGGTCACGAGTATTAAACATAAGGGTCATTAAGTACTTATATGGTGGTCAACAAATTCATTTAGTCGAGGTCGCTGTCACGTTGGTACGCCTGTGAACGCACCACCACACGGGCGTTCAACCTCCAGTTACATTATTCTTTTGATATTTACTGTAATACTAACACGGTAAAGATAGTCCTTACTATCTTTTGCATTTCATTTACTTTTTCAAATGGTTAAGTATTTGTTTTAGTTATGGCCGTCAAAGTGAGACGCACAACGTTTGCCAAGACGAGTGTTCAGACATGGCACGACACTGTTTTGGTGTGTGTGTGTGCAGAAGACGTTAACAGTGTGTCTAAGTGTTCGTTTGCACGTGTGTATGTGTTCGTACAGGAGGTAAAAAATCAGTGTTAATAAAACTTTGAATGTACTTAGAGGTCACTAATAGACTAGCAGTTTGTACATGATTAACAGCGCCAGGCCAGGTATTCAGGCTTACCGGCTGAAAATAGCAACAGCCCAGCGGATGTAGAGACGAAAATAAACGTGAGTGGGGAGCAGGACAAAGGGATGGAAGCTTAGACAAGGAGAAAGAAATTATACATTACATCTGTGGACATGATAGACGTGTATATTCAGATTATTGAACACCCCACTGGATCCTGTGCAGAGCGAAGCGCCAGTGTTTACAGTGCCCAACGGGGAAGCGTGCGGAGTTAATGCTTGCTTACTTTGACTCCTGCGATTAAGGACGCGAGTGCCTGAAGGGCCATGGATTATGTCGACAAATTACATATAGTGACAGGAGGATGAGTGTGTGGGGGGGAGAATTCCCGATGCAATTCATCTATTTAAAGCAAAGCGTGATGGGGTCCCTAATAATGTCAGGTGCCAGATCTGTCTCTACAGGAGGAGGGATATTTGGTTAGGGAGGGACGAGGTGTTGGTGACGGCTGGGGACCTGCAGGAGGAGGTCTTAGGGCAAGTCAGTAAGATGAATATGAAGGTCGTATGGAAAGTGTTGACCTTGTATGGTGGTGTGGAGACATTTACTGAAGGTTGTTATGAGTTTTTAATATAGAAAAAACAAAGCGTGTGTGTGTGTGTGTAATAAGCGGAGCAGTGCGTCAGAGAGATGTGTGATGTCATCTTGGTTACTTAATATTATCTTCTAGGAAGCATTAGTAAGTAGTATGGATGAACGGTTGACTGTAGAATGAAACTAAGAAATGATGACACAGTAGATGTTGTCATATATATATATATATATATATATATATATATAAGGTCACCCTGTATATTTAAGCCTCTCTCTGTCCATGTAATCCAGTTGCCTCTGAAGATGTCTTGAATAAAGACGAAAGCTAAGGTGCTCCGTTGTTTCTCTTTTCCCGTGTGATTTTATCAATATATATATATATATTGTATGAAATCACCACAATCTCTGAGTTACACTTGAGGGAAGTTGAAGAAAATGGTGATATGTATTGATGTATATTACCGGATTCTTTTTTATATACGTAAATACTGTGAGGAAAAAAAGAGAAGGTTGGGTTGGGTTGGGTTACGTTAGGTTGGTGTATTGACATCACGAGGTGGAGGCCCTAAATATATGAAAGTGTGTTAGAGAAATGTTCAAGGAGAGAAACGGAAGAGCGGAAGATAACGATAGAGTAATGCAAGGAAGAAGAACAAAGGAGGCACTGTGAACATTGATTAATGGGAGCAGTGTAGTGTACAAGGGGGGACTATAATGAGGGACTGCTTCTTCCAACTCTTACATATCGTTGAGAACGTCAAGTACGGCACAATATATCAAAGTAGTGACGGATTAACACTCACACCACGACAGATGGGGAGTTTGGAAAGAAACATAGGAATAAGAAGACTTAATAGAGTGAGTAATGGAGATGTAAGATGAATAAGCTACGTAGTGTTTTAAAAGTACACGGAGGTTGTGACTGACGAGTTAATTACAGGTGGACAGACTATAACAGGAGAATTAGTGAAGTTTAACGTGACATTCTGTTCCTTTTGGAGGCGTTATCATGTTATAGTGGCTACATAATCAAACACTGTGGGTCATTATGGATGTTAAAGGTTCACTCTGTGTGTGTGTGTGTGTGTGTGTGTGTGTGTGTGTGTGTGTGTGTTAGCCCATCTCTGACACTTACTAATATTACTTAATTTTTCCTATGAGTAATTGTGTGTTACTCTTGTACGTTATTCTCTTATTCTTTAAACTTACTGTACACCGTTTTCTCTGTTATCCCCCCTCCCCCCTGTGAGGTTTCTGTACCCCTTGATCTATCCCACACAAGAGGTGAGTGTTCGCCCTACATTTGACTGAGTTGTAAGTTGTGGCTGGGTGGGAAGACGTGAGAAAGCAGGGAGTTCTTAGATGAGACCTACGAAGAATGGAGGAGGGTAATGGTGATGGAGTTGTACTTAGTGGTCCTTGCACGCAGGGTGGATGATAATGACCTGTATAATGACTGGAGTGGACAGAATGAAAGAGAGGGATGGACTGGGTTACATTATCACGATGGCCGTGGGAGTAATAGAAGCAAAGAGAAAGTAAAGAGACAAGAAGAGGAGAGAAAGAAAGACTTAAGCGACTGGTCGTTGGTGGAGATAATAGCTTCTGGTTGTGTTTTGTCTAATGATGATAAGTAGAACTATGATGTGCCAGTCCACCATGACTAGACCCTGTCCATGGTCTACGTTCTTACTCTGGTGGACAATAACTCTCAGGAGAAGTGAAGCATCGCGCTGTACTGAGGCAAGGAGCCAGGGGCATTACTTACAACACAGGAGTGACTAACAACGTTCATTATACCCAACAGTTTGACCTATGACGCGTTTTGTATCATATTTACATTCAGTGTTTGTATTAACAACTACAAACTAAACCAGCATTTGTCTTCCATTCCTCCAAGAGAAGCTGAATTCACTCATCTACAGTTAATAGATTTATTAAACGTTTGTCAAATTCTGTAAAAATATCATCATCTTTTCCTGTCATTGTGAGGTTTTTAACTTATAGATAAAAATATTTTATGCATTATACAAATTTTATATATTTACCTACAACCTTTTTAAGATGGTATTATTGTTACTTGATATTGTCCACGGGGAAGGTATGTACAGTACACCCGCCACTCACATGCACTACTCAACTGGCTCTGACAACACTCAACTGGCACTGACAACACTCTACTAGCTCTGACAACACTGGTGCACGCAACTTGTACTTAACTCGCTGCTGTCGTTATCTCAAAGCACCATAATAAACACTGGCTTTTGTTTTAATGTTGTATGGTATTAATCCCCGTTAAATTTCTGTTTTTTTTTCCGTGAGAATAGTTAAGTCAGGGTGAGATTGGTGAGGTTTTTGTTAAGTGCGTGAGTTAACCCTTAAATACGAGAACTTAACTTATAAAGGTGCGATAATTTCCAGGTAACTGTTTACATTTAACCGAAACTGTATTGTGGTTTCTTACCTATACTGCCGTTTAAGCTGCTGCTGTTAACGGGGCTATTAATCCCATTGAGACCGTTGCTGAAGCTTCCGTTGATGCCGTTGAGTGAGGTGAGGGAGGTGAGGGCGGAGATGTCAGTGGGCGTGAGACCAGCCAGACCGTTCAGTAGGCCGCTGCTCAGTCCGCCGCCCCCGTTCAACAGGGAGTTCAGTCCGCTCATGTTGCCGCCCAACAAACCCATGTTGCCGCCCAGGCCGTTGAGGCTACTACCAGCTAGGGAGCCTAGGGAGGTGGGTGGCATGGACCCCACACTGCTCACCCCTGAGCTGCCGCCCACACCCGACCCGCCGCCCATGCCGTTGCCACCCGCCATGCCCAGGGCGTTCCACCCCCCAGGCATCATCTTGTTCTGTAAGAGAGGAACACAAAGATTATGGTCACCTGCAGATATTGTTCTCCAGTGTTCACAAAGTCCCTTGATGTTTTTGTTTACAGTGTCTTGATGTTTGTGTTTACACTGTCTTGATGCTTGTGTTTACAAAGTCCCTTGATGTTTGCGTTTACAAAGTCCCTTGATGTTTGCGTTTACAAAGTCCCTTGATGTTTGTGTTTACAAAGTCCCTTGATGTTTGTGTTTACAAAGTCCCTTGATGTTTGTGTTTACAAAGTCCCCTGATGTTTGTTTACAAACTCCCTTGATGTTTGTGTTTACACTGTCTTGATGTTTGTGTTTACAAAGTCTCTTGATGTTTGTGTTTACAAAGTCCCTTGATGTTTGTGTTTACAAACTCCCTTGATGTTTGTGTTTACAAAGTCCCTTGATGTTTGTGGTTACAAAGTCCCTTGATGTTTGTGTTTACAGAGTACCTTACTGTTTGTGTTTACAATGTCTCTTGATGTTTGTGTTTACAGGGTCCCTTGATGTTTGTGTTTACAATGTCTCTTGATGTTTCTGTTTACAGGGTACCTTCATGTTTCTGTTTACAGGGTCCCTTGACGTTTCTGTTTACAGGGCCCCTAGATGTTTGTGTTTACAGGGTCCCTTGATGTTTGTGTTTACAGGGTCCCTTGATGTTTGTGTTTACAGGGTCACTAGATGTTTGTGTTTACAATGTCTCTTGATGTTTCTGTTTACAGGGTACCTTCATGTTTCTGTTTACAGGGTCCCTTGACGTTTCTGTTTACAGGGCCCCTAGATGTTTGTGTTTGCCGGGTCCCTTGATGTTTGTGTCTACAGGTTCCCTAGATGTTTGTGTTTACAGAGTCCCTTGATGTTTCTGTTTACAGAGTCCCTTGATGTTTGTGTTTGCCGGGTCCCTAGATGTTTGTGTTTACAGAGTCCCTAGATGTTTGTGTTTACAGAGTCCCTTGATGTTTCTGTTTACAGAGTCCCTTGATGTTTCTGTTTACAGAGTCCCTTGATGTTTGTGTTTGCCGGGTCCCTAGATGTTTGTGTTTACATTGTCCAATGACCACTCCTCAAGACACCCGAACCACATGTCTCTGGACTTACGACCACTGGCAAAAATAAATTCTCTCCGTCCTGATAAGATACACAAACAACACCCAAATACCGTGTATAAATATATCTCCACAGACTAAAGCAAAAGAAAACCTAAAAATACACACGTTATTTCCTCCATGTAAAACCTAACCTAACCTAACCTAACCTAACCTAACCTGTTGAAGAAAACCGACAGCCTCAGATATTTACTCCACGGTGTGAGTAAGTTCGCGGGGGAAGAACATGGTCGGGTAACCTCAGACTTGTGGTTTATGAGCCGTAACAGCCTGCTGGATAACGTCCTCAAGTAGTGTTTGACACGGGCTGGGGCGAAGGGCGACAGGCGACTACAAAAAAAGACCCTCCCTACGTGTAAATACTCTTGTTAGGCCTACTGTAACGAGCTCACCAGCCCCACCATCCATCATCCTACCACCACCACCCCATCACCATACCATCTCACCACCACCCATCACCATACCATCACCACCCCATCTCACCACCACTCCCTCCCCACTCCCTCCCCATCACCATACCATCACCATACCACCACCACTCCCTCCCCACTCCCTCCCCATCACCATACCATCACCATACCACCATACCAACTTATCCCACCTACCCATCACATCCCCCAATACCCCATCCTGCTTCACCCACCCCATCACCGCCCATCACCCACCCCATCCCTTACTGTCACCACCCCATCAACCTTTACCGCCCCATCAACATGCACCATCTCACCACCACCCCATCACCATACCACACCACCCCATCAACATACCATCTCACCCACCACCCCATCACCATACCACCACCACCCCATCACCATACCATCACCACCCCATCATACCATCACCACCCTATCATACACCGCCCCATCAACATACCATCTCACCACCCACCCATCACCCATACCACCACCACCCCATCAGCACCAACATCCTCACCATCCCATCATACATCCATCACCACACCCACCACCCCATCACCCACCACCACCCCATCCACTATACCATCACTTACCCCATCACCATACCACCACCACCCCATCAACATACCACCACCCCCCATCAACATACCATCTCACCCACCACCCCATCACCATGCCATCACCCACCCCATCACCCATACCACCACCCATCCTGCTACATCTTACCACCCACCCCATCACCCTACCACCACCCATCACCTTACCACCACACCCAGCCTTACATACTCACCCCCATCACCATGCCATCTCTTACCACCCATCCACCATACCACCACCACCCGTCACCATACCACCACCCCATCTTATACCATCTCTTACCACCCCATCACCATACCATCACCATCACCATCACCATTACCACCACCCATCACCGCCTATACCACCCATCCACCATACCACCACCCATCCACCCATACCCCCATCACCATACCACCACCACCCCATCACCATACCACCACCACCCCATCACCATACCATCACCACCCATCACCATACCATCTCACCACCACATAAATATTTACACTCCCCAGACCTTGTAGCCTCACAGACTTTGTTTACACCCACCAGGAGGCGCTGAGGAAGTTCTACCCATCACCATCACTAGCATCACCATCACTAGCATCACCATTACCATCACTACTACCACCACCATTAGCGGGAGGCACTCACCATGTGACCCACTATCATCATAATTACTACCACCATCACCACCACTATCATCACCATTACTACCACCATCACCACCGCGTATTGAGTTTTAAGATTATTAAATATTATTTATTTATAAGATGTTTGGCTGACAGTAAAGTACTTTGTATTACATCATTTATTTGAGTTCCGAATAAATGGTTTTGTGTTCCATGTCATTTTCTGGCGGAGAAAACAAAACATCTGGCTCGTTCGTCTAAAATACAAAATCCGTTCACTCTCTAGCAACATTTTATTACACTTTCGGATTATCGTATTCGTTAAACCCCTCACAGTAAAAGCACTATCAGTCAGGTAAGAGAAGGTGGGTATTGGGATTAAGTTAACTAATAAATACAAACAGGTAAGTTGACTCCAGTATGAGGTGACATAATCAACACTATCACGTGACCACAGGTGTACACACTCCTACATCTGTCACCCCACTAATGTCATTATCGCCCTACGCTGACGTCATTATCACCCTACACTGACGTCATTATCACCTTACACTGACGTCATTATCACCCTACACTGACGTCATTATCACCCTACACTGACGTCATTATCACCTTACACTGACGTCATTATCACCCTACACTGACGTCATTATCACCCTACACTGACGTCATTATCACCCTACACTGACGTCATTATCACCTTACACTGACGTCATTTGCGTATAGAATTCACTCGTCGTTTTCTTGGCACAACTGGTAAGTGGTAGAGATTAATAATACAATAATACACGCAGGAAAGTTAATAAAAGCAATAATAGAAGCATGGAAGTTAATAAAAGCATTAAAAGACGCACGAAAGCTAATAAAAGCTATAATATAAAAACGCATAAAAATAAATGCAAATAATAAAGAAACACATGAAGCTAAATAAAATAAAATAAAATATTGTATTATTTACGCTAAAAAATCAATGTGTATTTTTATTTATTATTTTTTTATTTACAAAGGACTCCAACTGTCAGGATTTATTAAGTAATATATATTAAAGTTTAGTTTCTACAATAAAGTCTTGACAATTAAAAAATATCCGTTGTTTAGTGTGTAGAAATATCCTTGTATATTTCGTCATTATTTTTAGACTATACTGTAAGTGTGGTCTGTCCGATGCTGGTATTAAGGTTAGGTAGGTAGGGTTGGTTAGGTAGGTTAGGGAAGGTTAGGTTAGGTAGGTAGGGTTAGTTAGGTAGGTTAGGGAAGGTTAGGTTAGGTAGGTAGGGTTGGTTAAGTAGGTTAGGGAAGGTTATGGGAGATATTACATGATTTATGTTTCAAGAAGATTAAGCACATACAATTATTCCACCTGAAGATTAACCACCCTAATGTTAACCGAACCTAACCTAACTAAATTTAATCAGACTGAACTTAATCTAACATAACTTTACCTTATCTAAGCTAACCTAACCCAACTAAATCTCCCAGGTAGCGTTAGCGTTAAGGGTGGGGGGGAGGATAATCTTCAGGTGAAAATTAAACTCAGTTAGTACAGTCAGGGACAGGGCTGACAAGGAAGGTATAAAAACTTTAATTGTTGGTGACTCACAGGTAAGGTACATGGACAGAGCCTTTTGTGGTAAAAACAAAAATAGGATGAGGGTGTGTTTGCCAGGAGCTGGGGTGGGGGATATAATTGACAGGATGGAGAATATCTTGACTGGTAATGGGAACAAACCCATTATCTGCCTCAGTGCAGGAGGCAATGATATTGGCCGGTGTAGGAGTGAGGAGCTTCTTGATAAGTTCAAGGCAGCCATAGATCGTATTAGGACTAAGGGAGGGATCCCTATCATATGCTGTGTCCTGCCTAGAAGGAGAGTTGGCAGTGAATAGTTGTCAAGGGCAGTTGGTGTCAACGACCGTCTTGACAGATATTGCAAGTCAATATCAGTCCCATTCATTGACAACTGGGACAACTTCTACGGCAGAAGGGACCTTTATGCTAGGGATGGGGGTGCACCTGTCTCGGGATGGGGTGGCAACCCTGGCGGGGTCTCTAGAGGGGGCAGTTCAAAAGATATCGAAGTCTTTAAACTGCTAGGGGAACATATGGGCACGGGGGTGGAGGGGACTGCAGTGGGAGCGAGTAAACAAAGTAAAAGGTTACAGGGAAATAGTGTTAGGAATGATGACAAAGCTAAATTAGGCAGCGAGTTAAAACCTAAAAGCTGTAAAGGGAGGACTCGGAACACGACTATCTTAAATGTCTA